AACCAATGACAGTCTATTTGAAATCGTGCATTGCGAGTGATTCGGAGAAATTTGTGAGATTTTGATAGAGTAAATATTTATAAAAAATGATATTTTAATTTAAAAATTTGTAATAGTTTAGTATTACAATAATAGGGATTATAATATAATTATTAATATGATTATTTTAAAGATAGGAAACGTTTAATAGTTCTTACATCATACATACCTAAGATCGAACTGTTTCTTTTACGTATCGTAGAAAAGTCCCGATTAAACACTTGTTTCATGAAAATTTTTTTTCTACATACAGAGGGTTAACGAGTTGTCTCTTTGGAGATCGATAATGAACTACTTACAAAATATAATGAAGATAAACGTAATTAAATATCAAATTATTAATGTAATGTAAGATAAAATGGTAGTCATAATCCTCCAAGTCAATTTTGCAGTTATTCATTACAGTTATTCATTAGACTCTACGTATAAATGGACATCGAATAGACTTTTTTAAGCATACATTGCTTAATAAATTCTAGTTTATAATTTGCCCTTACTATCTTCAAAACAAACATTGGAAATTTTTCAAGACGGATTCGTTCAAATTTGAATTCACGTAACATATGTAATTTTAACACTCTTTTATAATCCTGTAACTTTTACTTATGCTGTTTTTAACGTAGGTTTATATGCACTTTTATGATCGAAATTATTCGAAGAATCATCCGCTGAAATTTTTCGCATAAAATACGAATCACCTTGTTTTAGTATTTTCACCCGGAAAATTTATCACACGATGTATCTTAAAAAATTGTGGTTTTCGAAATATTATAATGCCCGTTTACGATCAAACAATTTCTATTATTGACTACTTTGGAAAATCCGATAATCCGGAATTATTCGAAAATCAAAATCAACGGATACCGGATTAACGAATTTCTGCTGCTGTTTTATATAACTTCAAATTTTAAAACTTTGTTTAAATATAATTTTTATTATTTATATATTAATGATAAAAAATTTTAAATATTTAAANTAATCCCTTATCCCTATTTACTCTGTGTTAAAATTACCTCGTTTAACGCTGTTTCGTTTAGCGCTCTGTCGTCCAGGAACGCATACCCCACATTAAGGGGGTGTTACTGTATTATTTAATTAGATATAATTGTCATCGTAACATTTTTACGTGTAATGCCAAGTTGGGGTTTTAAGGGAACACGTCAATTTAGTCATTCCAACAACACACAAAGAATTTTTTCTTGTAATACACAAAGAACGTTCGAAAGAAGTGGCTGCATCGATACTCAGGTATGAAATTTCATAAATGATTTCTAATTTATTGCTAAACTAAACAGAATTCTCTTCAACGTTTCTTGCTGTGTAAAAACTAAAATCCTTTGATCGAAGATAATTAATTGCTGAAAAATTGTTCTTGGCATAATTTTGTAAAGAATCAAAGCATTTTTGCACGAATATCGGGACTTTAGGTGATGTGATAAAGTGGGTGAATTTTACGGTTATCCAATATAAAATCATTCTGTTAAAGCTTTGAAAAATATTAATGAATCATTTAAGTACACAAGAAACAAGGGTAGACTCGGATGAAGACCTTCAAATACTAATTTAAACAACGGTATAAAGAATAAAAACGTTTAGTTTGATGGACTTGTATGATGGAAACTAAACGAAAGTTTTAATTGAGACGGTGCGTTAACGACTTCTCTTCTATGTCGCTTACAGAATTGTTCGTTCTCGAAATCCGTTCGATCGATTTTGATTAAACTTTGCCATTTTCCATTAATTGCCATGAGGAATCAAAAAATGGGACGAGGGTCCGTTTAAATGTTAAAAATAAGGGTTCATGACTTGGTGTTTGATATATAGATAGGTTAAAGTGACAATGTCTAAGCTCTCTGATTCGACTGAGCGCGTCTAATGAAATTTTAGTTCTAGGGGTCAAAAATAAAAACAGCATCGCTTGCGCCTAATGGAAAATAGGCCCGAAAAAGGAACGAAACACAAGAACAATGCAATCTCCATCGATTGCTTTTGTTCTTATACTGATTGTCTGTGTTATCAGGTACGAGATATCAGATACTAGGATAGCTTTTCCCGTGTAGGGGTGTCTCGAAAGCACAAAAGTATACCGGTATTACAAGAGGTTTCAAAGTATCGAAGGTATCGGTCTTGAAATATTGATACCGGCCAGTATCTGTATCGAGTATCGAAACCGATAATCTTTCCGGCTGTCTGTGTTCAGTCTGCCGAGTCGCCTTTCAGTTGTTTTTACTTCTGAGAAGGTACTGTACATCTATTCCTCTTCTTGCTAATTGAATACATTCCAAAGAACGCCGTGTAAAAGAAAAATCTCGTAGGATCTACAACTTCGATGTAACGAAAAAGTAAGCAATATATAAAAGAAACACGAGCTTTATTGTTCTAACATAATTTATCATTAACATTATTTGTAGTAAATGAAAGTCATCAGAGTTTCATGATTATGTAAAATTGTAGCTCTAAATATTTCGAATTCATGATAATACTTTATTAGGGTTTTTATCTGATTTTTAATAATTAATATAACTTTTTGATGTGTAGTGTATCAGACTTGCTTGAAATTCTATTTTAGCATCTTTATCTCATGAATCATTGGGCGTGTTGTTTGATAAGTAACCTTTAATATAGCTGAATAAGCAAATCAATGACAGTCTATTTGAAATCGTGCATTGCGAGAGGTTCGGAGAAATTTGTGAGATTTTGATATAAAGTAAATATTTATAAAAAATGATATTTTAATTAAAAAATTTGTAATATTTTAGTATTACAATAATAGAGATTATAACATAATTATTAATGTGATTATTTTAAAGATAGGAAACGTTTAATGGTTCTTACATCATACATACCTAAGATCGGACTGTTCCTTTTACGTATCGTAGAAAAGTCCCGATTAAACACTTTTGTTTCATGAAAATTTTTTCTCTACATACANGCAGGCCTGGCCTTGAGGAAATTCAGAATTTCCTATGCAAAATTTCCAGGCATGCGCGGTTAATCCTCAAAGGATTTCCTTAACGTGTGTGGCCACTTTAGTTAATTCAATGGAATGATGTGATGCAGTGGTCAGAAGCTCTGTTTACGCCACAAAATACTAATATTTTGTCCTAAAAATACTGTACAAATCTGCATACTTTCTTTGGTAGCTGTACTTTTGTCACAGTGTAAAATATAAAAACTTCGTGTTTTCTTTTGTAAATCAGATTTAAAATAAAATTTATTTGAGTTAATTGAGAATTTCGACTCTTTTTTGTGCTCTTTACATCTATCCCAATACTAATCATGTAGTAGGTGGGAACAAAACTTTGCTTAAATTTTTTAAATTTTATTTAAATCTACTTTTTGTTATGTATATTTTAATAATAAAATATTTAAATATTTAAACGCTAAAAAATGAAAAAACATTTGAAAGTGCAAAACAACATTGCTACATCAAGAATACAAAACCGCAACAAATACCTAGTTTAATTTACTTTATATAGAATGAAATATTAGGAAGCAACATATAGTTTTATATTTATTCTTTTCATAAAACACGTAATACGATCCAATGTTATAATTTATAAATTAAAATATACAGAAATTCTTGGAAGATTTTCTATCGTATAAAAACAACCTGCCACTAAATTAAAAGGAAAAAAACACAATTAAGGTAAGTGTATATAATGAAAATACTGCAATTTCTGTAACAGGTATATATACTCCTCAGAAATGAAATCGGAACATTACAAAGAAATGCGCATAGCCATATGCATATTGCAGGACTGGAGGAGCAAACGATTAAGTTTGAGTCATTGGTACTTATTAGTGATGTAACGAATATTCGGTTAATATTCGGTATTCGGCCTATTCGGCCTATTTTTCACTATTTGGCCGAATACCGAATACCTAGAAACAGGAGTAAGAAATAACAACAACACAGTAAATTAATCATTTTGGTATTTAGATTTAATGTTATCGGGTTAGTGTTGTTTGTTTATATTTACTTATAACTTATAACATGCACAAAATAAAAAAATAATTATATTAGTCACAAGTATTCACAATTTATAATTACAAAGATCAGCACATGTACTGTACAGTACACATCTATTCGTTCGAAAGTCGTCGCACATATCTGAGGATCTGACCCTGCCTATCCTTCTTCTTAAGCACTCATCTTTGCTCTTTCCTTTCTCTTTCCTCTATCTCTCTAGTCCACGTATGCCTATGCATACATCATAATACGTGCTCACGATACTTTAGATTCGTCACTTTTCCATCATAGTTTTTCCATTTTATAATTATGTGGCTCATAGCATGGTGATAACGGAGAAAAAAGACAGATAGGACGTCGTTATATGTCACAGTTATGATTTCACAGATTCGAGACAGCTTGGTAGCCCGAACGGTCCCAGGCTTTCGCCCGTGCACGCTAAGTGACTTTCATTACAAGCATTTAGCTTTCCGAAGTCTATGACAACAATTGTTTGGCATTGACGGCAGCGAATTTTGCGCCAATAAGCTGCCTCGACTTGTTCGATTATGTTATCGACTCAATTTCATATTTATTTTCACATTTTCACTTCGCGGTCCTTCTCTGTTCTTTTTCCGTTATTTACACGTATAGGTCATTTCATTGTTATCCACTTTTGATATCATCATTTATCACATACTGCCATGACGCTCTTGTCTGTATGTTACAACTGTCAAGAATTAACGCGATTGGCGAAGCGTAGTGACAGCGGGCCAATAGAGAGCAGGGTCCTTGCCATAATGTGGTTTGGGCGCCAATTTTCATACGTGCATTAAATATTTCATATTTGTTCGGAGATTAATAAATTAACACCATTTCACATGAAATAATAATTACTCTCTTTCGAAAAGTACATATATTTGAATTACATTTTTGAGAGAAATATTCATAAATTTTTGAAAATTCGTAAAGTATCTAAATATCGATTTACATAAGGTCTATTTTACAGTCGAAATGAAGATCTTCATTTTATTCTTTTGCACATTGTTAATCTGCAAAATTGCCTGCAGACCTAATTCGAAACGTCTTTCAAAAGAAGTTTGCGGTAAGCTATATAAATTATTTATTCATGAATCTTATTAACATAAAGCTGGTTTATAAATATGTTAGAAATATTTCTTAATTTTAAATTTTAAAAAGTTGTAATCTTATAAAATATGGTTGCAGATTATTCTGAATCCCGCAAATCTCAGATTTATAGCTGCATCGAAAAGGAGATTCCTGATTATTTCAGAAATAAAGTATTTTGAATTTTTTAAATACCGTTGTTAAGATTTCTAAGTTTTTAAAAAATAAACTTTAATTAACCGTGGTTACTTTCTGAGACTGCAGGGGAAACTTTTTGACGTTACTCTAGAACTACTCCTTTCGGATAGGGCAAATTTATATCCATTGCAAAACTTAATTGCGGATAAGATACTGATTACCTGTACAATGATGTTACCTAAGGCTATAGCTAGATAAGGACGCGATATTATGCTTTATTGTGTTCTTTCTGATAAATAAAAAATCAAGTAGTTTATGAGGTATATGATACTTTTTTCGGTAGTGAAAAAACAAAAACAAATTATGGGTTATCATATTGTCAAGAAGTTTAGATTTATATTTCTAGTAATAATAAAAAGTAAGATTTATGGTGTTTTGAACGATTAAAAAAATTGTTTGCTTTACAAAATTAATAATTTAAAAATAATAATTTAAAAATAATTTAAAAATTTCTAATTAAGGATTTTTTTTTTACTTTTATTTTCCTATAATCAATTACAGCGAAATAATATGGAGACATAGAGTTCATTATAGATTTGTGAAACAAGCAAGCCGTCATGAAGTTATCTCAAGCGACGGAATAAAATTATGACAAACATTTTTCATAATACTATATTTATAAAATAACAAATTAACAATTAACATCTCTATGTGTAAAGAGAGGAAAATGTTAAATATTCGTAAAATTTGACATACAGTATTTCATTTAATAATCCATTAATAAGAACAACAAAACGCGAAAAGTCTCACAAAGTATTTCGGTTTACCGATGTATTTATGATATTAGGCCTATATTTATAGAATATGTAATTATATATAATATATTTATAATATTTCATTTATTATTCATATATATATTTAATATTAATGATTTTCTCTACTTAGATTAAAAGTTTTATTCGGTGTTTAGGAAAAAATTCTCTTCTTGAAATTATAAACATGATTTGTGAATCAAACAAACCGGTAAGCTTAAATATAGAAAAGCATACTTAATGTAGATTACTGATTTTGAATGTAATTTCAGTCATACCTCTGAACAATAGCCATTGATAAGAACATACAAAAAAAGGCCATTTTTTGTTTTCTTATCATTAAGATGTTGTTGTTATTGGAGGTTCGACTATTATTCGGTTTGTGAACTTTACAGTACTGTATATATTTATTCCAATAGGAGGAACTGAAAGCACACTGTCCTCGATGCTTTTCTATTTTGAATTTGAATAACGAAGTCGAGCATGAAGTAAGTGATAAAATATTTAATACTTTGTCAATTTTAAATTTATAAAATATACAACAATTACAATTTATTATTTCAGACTGCAGCCGATTACGTAGCAAAGTGTATGTTCGATGACGAATAAAAAAAAGCTTTATTGAATATAATATATTAAAATACTAGAATAAATAGAACAAGATATTATAAGAAGAACTATATTCTGGAGAATTAAATAAATTATAAAAAAAAAATAGAAAATGTAACAAAACAGAATAAAAATGACAAAAATCTATTTAAGAAAATGAAAACCAATCGATCTTATTTAAATTCATTTAAGAAAATTAAGACAAATCGACAGTTATTTTGAGGCAAATTAACCAATGACTTTTGCTTGGCACATTGGAAAACCCCAGTACGTGTTTTGTGCTAGCTTAGAATGTGATGCTTGTATTGTAGAGAATGGCGCAATTTCGTTGGCCAGTTAAACAGAAATTTTCGTTTTTCAACAGAAAATTGTTGTTGAAATAAATTTATCTGCAGGTGATGAATCAAGAAATTAAAATTGTTTTCTAATATTAATTGTAACGTTCCATTAACAGCCAAATATATAATAGTAATCAGCCAACCAATGAAACTTTGCCAAAAATCAATTAAACCCTTTAACCGAGACCCTTGAAAAAACTAAAAAACATAATTTGTGATTGCTGATAACTTTGTAGCAAAGTAATTACTTTATTCTCTTATACTTAGGAAAAATATGAGGCCATTGATCAACAAATCAATATTTTTATATTTTTGGACTCAAGATTTTGAATACATATTCAAAAACGTTTTGGATTTTCTAGCATATAAGTATATTATCGTGTGTTTGTTTGTGGGCATGTGTTACTTGTGTGTGTTTGAAGAAGCAAATTTTTTCGTGCACTTTGAAGCTTAATAACTCCTGTGCTTTTTGTTGAAAATTTGAAATTTTGAAAGGACTGCCCTTCAAAATTTGACTTAGGGGAAAATGTTTCTAGAAATTTTTATTATAGGCCTAATTAGACCATTGGTTCGTGAGATGCTAAGCAGATAGGTGGCCGTATCTCAAAAAGCTTTCAAGTTACGCCATACACAAATTTTTAAACTGCTTTTAACATGCTGGTTTTTGCTATTAGAATGACATATTTCGCTGATATGACAGAAAGAGTGCATGTTGCAGGAAAGAGATTAATAAAGATAATACGAACAAAAGCAGTCGTCTACAAGTTTTGGGTGAGAGCGCACTGTACTTCCTCAAAATTTTAATTACATTTGTTCAAACCATATTGAAATATGTAAAGAACAAACTAACTAACTAACTAAATTTCTTAATACTCGTATATTTGATTCTTTTTATAATAAACACCTAAAATATTGGTATTAATTAAACTCCCACAAAACTCGTTAATTAGTTAATTTATATTTATTTAATAAGGAACAAAAATATTTGGAAGGAGAGGAGAATACAGTTATCAATAACAATAAAGAAAATACGTCAACAATAACAATTATTTGTAAATTTTCCACGGTTACAGAAGTCCATAATTTATAGTGTTTAAGAACACAAAAATAACAAATAGTAATAATATTTAATTAGATATGACTATCGTCGTAACATTTGACAATGATTTGTACGTGTAATGCCAAGTTGGCGGTCCACGGTTTATCGAACCGCCCGCAGAACTCCCTCCAGGCTTTATGTCTCTTTTGGATAATTAAGGTTTTATAGTTATTAATTAATTAATTTTTAAACTTGTTGATATAGGCAGGACTAAGGGTGTTGCGAAGGTCACCGTCGTGTTGTTTTTGGTATGCCGTTCTTAACTTTCTAGCCTCTTTCCTTACTGTTGCGAGCTCTCTGTCCCACCATGATACTAAAGTTCTAGCTTTTGTTTGGTGGGAGGGGTTGCGTTAGCAGATTTTTACGCAATTGTTTAGGTGAATGATGCACTTATCAATGTCTTTTTTGTACATTTCTGTTACAGGCTTTCCAGGAGCATTTAAATTGTTCACGAAAGGCGTTTCAGTTAGTTTTGGTGACATAATTGTCGGTGTGGACAGATTTGCCAGTAGCTTTGGGATATTTGAGGCAGTAAATGCAAAGATCGCCAGTCGCCTCTTCTGTATCTAACAAGTGCTGGAATCGCTTCATTCCTTCCAGCTCCTCTTTAATTCTGTTGCGTTACGACAAAGTCGCGCGATCTCCTAGTTAATTAATAAAGTTACGCATCTGTAACCAATTTATTTAATACTTTTAAACATAGTAAAAACAAATGTTTTCCTCATTACTAAATTACTGTGATAGTAATTCTCCGTATTCGATCTATCTACATTTATATAAATTGAGGTAATTTAGCCATTAACCAGAATTTAGAGATAATGTAGAGATTTGCAAGATTTTATTAAATAACCAAGACTAGTCAACCAAGTCATCGCTATCATTTTTCATTATACTTATAGAAGATAGAACTCCGCGTTTATTTGGAGCCAAATAATTTTTGATATTACCTATTTCACATAATATCATGTTTTAACATTCAAATATAATATATATCATATAGTTAATCGTTTAAGGTCAACTTTGAACTGACGTTAAAGTACGTTTACGTAATTCTAAGAGGATTGTGATTTATATATAGGGGAGACCGGGGCAAGATCGGCATGTTAAGCTTTACTTAAATTTTGTGTAATAAATACTGCTGTAAACTGAAAAAAAAGCTTTGCATATTGTCTATTGGAATGTTTTCTTACTATAGAACTGGTTAAAATCAGTTTGGAAATAAAAATAATTAAAATAATTACAACTTTACAAGAAGAGAGAAATTGACGAAGTTGCCCCGGGTATAGGGGCAAGATCGGCAACTTCTCTCTTTTTGTAAAGTTGTAATTATTTTAATTATTTTTATTAAAGTTGCCCCTGGTATAGGGGCAACAGTAATGGGGCAAGATAGGCACGTATATAAAATTATGTTATTAACAATGTATAAGTTGGAATTCACTATTAAAACAAAGAAATACAAATCCAACACCCATTTAATATTATTACAACGAAATGCAAGTTCAAAGACATATATACATGAATAACAAATGCAAACATGTTTTCATTTATCATCTGTTTGATTTTTATCCTTTGCTTCTAATGTGGCTTTATGTTGCCGATCTTACCCCGCTAGTCATGATTTCGAAACATTAAGTACAACCCTGAGAACAGAATGCCAAGCCACGATCTGGCCACGTGAATAAGTTGAAGTTACATCCTTCTAACAGGAAAAGTAACTTTCGTTATCATGGAATTATAACAAAACCTGCCAATTCAATATAAATGGAAAAAAAATATTATATGGAATTGAACGAAAATGAAAATTTGCTTGATAATTCAACTACGCTTGTTGGAGAACAATAAAAACACTACACTCAACAAGCCACCAATAAAACTCAACTGTCTAACCTATAACCAAAGTCTCCTTTTAATTTGATTTTAAAAAAAAGCGCTTGACAAACTTGCCCCGTATGCCGAAGTTGCCCCGGTCTCCCCTACTGCATTTTGTCTAATTGTGATAGGCAATATACGGACATAAACGTGCACTAAAAAAGTCGAAATGAATCCAATCGAAAAATATTAAATAAATACATAATTAGAGGTTTAACGCTCTTTGTATAGATTAACTATTGGAAACTCAATATTAGCTATCATTCTTACTTTATTGATATTTTATATCAATTCCTAAGTGCATATTAATATTAGCAAAAATCCTATCCAAATATTTACGAAGTTAAAGTTTTTCTTCATATTGTTACTACACAGTATATATGGCTGCTTTATTACAAAAATCTTATATCATAGAAAATGCGTGATTTCATTAAAATAGTTTTTTTTTAAATTAATATTTTAGCTATTCTTTACAAATAATTTATATATTACCTCGTATGGCAAAATGATAACTACGTCATTTATCGGATGATTTACTTGATAGTTAATATGAAATGAGACATAACTTAATATCTATCTGCTTGCAGAGTATTGAAGATTAATGATCAAATTCTTCTTAAATTTTATAATTAAGCATTTATCATTAATGGTGTAAATTTATTAAATCAGAAAAAATTTATACATTCTTATTGTATAAAAATTTAAATATCGTGTCCTAAATAAAACAATACGTTTCAAATTCGCTGTGAAACGATAGTTTGTATTTAAGTTAATGTGTATTTAGTTTAATATTTCAACTCCCCAAAACACATAAAAATAACAAATTTTTCGATAAAGTTGACATCTTTATTCGGTAGATTCATTTTTGATCTTCAATAATATATTTTTCAATAACGATAAACGGTAAATAAAATTAGTTCTGAATGACGGCCGAATAACCGATCGGTTAAGATGGCAACCTATCGTTGTGAGAGGACACGAGACCGAATTCGTCCGAATTCGGAGTTAACCCGTTTGAATATATTGCGGACCATCACTCGTAAACCCTATTGTGGACCTGGCCGAACTAATAATGGGATTACTAAAAAAGGTCTCCTCTGTACACATAAAGCGAAGAGAGTAAAAAGTTAGTTAATTTCGAATGACTTTTCTACCATGTTTTTTCTTTCAATTTCTGTGTTTTATCAGATTCTAGTAATCAGATATAACCTATATTCTTTTTGTTAACTTACTCAGTCTGGTTGTCTGTTGTATTTCCACATAAAATCATGTAGTTCAATTTTTATCTAATTCCCGATAAATTTTCAACAGAGAAGAATTTCGATTATTCAATCTTTTACATATAAAAAATATATAAAACTAAAAGTATATTTTTAATGTTTTAGGTCGCTTACTTCTCTGAGAGTACAAAAGGTACAAATTAATAAAAAGCACAACATAAAAAATAAAAAAATAATTCAAATATCTATTATGGTAGCTGTTTATTCGTTCATACATATATATGTCTCTTTAATTTGAAAAATAACTTTAAAAAACGATTTTTATTTACATAAATGGACTAAAAACTAAAAATTAACTGTTTTCAGCTTTCACAGAATTCTTGGTATTACCAAGCATCGGTAAAAAATAAAAGCATCGGTGTTCAAGTAAATTCTATAAAAATTGATAGAAAGTTTAACAAAGAGTATTTTTAAACATGAGCATTCCACAAATTTATTTTTGGTCGCGTAATATCAAGAATGCTATGAAAGCTAAAAACAATGATTTTTTTACCTTTTAAGTGCTTTT